TTGAAAGAATCTCGGGTTCCCTTATTTTATTCTTAAAAGAGTTTGAAAGAATCTTGGGGACAATTTTTGTTTAATTTAAAAAAAGTGTGAAAGAATCTTGGAGTTCCCTTCTTTTTTGTCTTTAAAAGAGTTTGAAAGAATTTCGGACAAATTTTCTGTTTTAGTTTTGAAAGTGTTTAAAAGAATCTCGGAGACCTCTTCTATTTTATTTTTGAAACAGTTTACAAGAATCTCGGAGGACCCCAGTTGTTTCATTTTTAAAGAGTTTGAAAGAATCTCGGGTCTCCTTGTTTTATTCTTAACAGAGTTTGAAAGAATGTTGAGAATCCTCTCTCTTTAATCCTTGAAAGAGTTTGAAAGAATCTTGGAGGTCCCTAGTTCTTTTTGTTAAGAATATGATAGAATTTGGGCAAGCCCTTCTGTTTTATTTTTGAAAATGTTTGAAAGAATCTCGGGAAAATCTTGGTTTTCATTGTTTAAAGGGTTTGAAAGAATCTCGGGTCCCTTGTTTTATTTTTAAAAGAGTTTGAAAGAATCTTGGGGACAAGTTTTGTGTAATTTAAAAAAAGTGTGAAAGAATCTTGGAGTTCCCTTCTTTTTTGCCTTTAAAAGAGTTTAAAAGAATTTCGGACAAATTTTCTGTTTTAGTTTTGAAAGTGTTTAAAAAAATCTCGGAGACCTCTTCTATTTTATTTTTGAAACAGTTTACAAGAATCTCGGAGGACCCCAGTTGTTTCATTTTTAAAGAGTTTGAAACAATCTCGGATCCCCTTGTTTTATTCTTAAAAGAATTTGAAATTATGTTGAGAATCCTTTCTCTTTAATCTTTGAAAGTGTTTGAAAGAATCTTGGAGGCCCCTAGATCTTTTTTTTTAAGAATATGATAGAATTTGCGCAAACCCTTCTGTTTTATTTTTGAAAATGTTTGAAAGAATCTCGGGGAATGCTTGGCTTTCATTGTTTAAAGGGTTTGAAAGAATTTCGAGGTCTTCTTCTGTTTTATCTTTAAGAGGGTTTGAAAGAATCGCGGGGTGCTCTTCTGTTTTATCTTTAAAAGAATTTGAAAGAATCTTTGGGACAATTTCTGTTTAATTTAAAAAGAGTGTGAAAGAATCTTGGAGTTCCCTTCTTTTTTGTCTTTAAAAGAGTTTGAAAGAATCTCGGGGATCCCTTCTGTGTTATTTTTAATAGAATTTAAAAGAATCTCGAAGACCTCTTCTATTTTATTTTTGAAAAGGTTTACAAGAATCTCGGAGGACCCCAGTTGTTTCATTTTTAAAAAGATTGAAAGCATCTCGGGTCCCCTCGTTTTATTCTTAAAAGAGTTTGAAAGAATGTTGAGAATCCTCTCTCTTTAATCTTTGCAAGAGTTTGAAAGAATCTTGGAGGCCCCTAGTTCTTTTTTTCAAGAACATGATAGAATTTGGGCAAACCCTTCTGTTTTATTTTTGAAAATGTTTGAAAGAATCTCGGGGAAATCTTGGCTTTCATTGTTTAAAAGGTTTTAAAGAATCGCGGGGTGCTCTTCTGTTTTATCTTTAAAAGAGTGTGAAAGAATCTTGGGGACAATTTCTGTTTAATTTAAAAAGAGTGTGAAAGAGTTTTGGAGTTCCCTTCTTTTCTGTCTTTAAAGGAGTTTGAAAGAATTTCGGACAAATTTTCTGTTTTAGTTTTGAAAGTGTTTAAAAGAATCTCGGTGACCTCTTCTATTTTATTTTTGAAACGGTTTACAAGAATCTCCCAGTTGTTTCATTTTTTAAAAAGATTGAAAGAATCTCGGGTCCTCTTGTTTTGTTCTTAAAAGAGTTTGAAAGAATCTTGGAGCTCCCTAGTCCTTTTTTTAAGAATATGATATAATCTGGGGGACCCCTTGTGCTTTATTCTTGAAAATGCTTGAAAGAATCTTTGGGAAATCCTGGGTTTCATTGTTTAAAGAGTTTGAATGAATTTCGGGATCCCCTCTGTTTTATTTTTAAAAAAGTTTGGAAGAATCTCGGGGACACCTTCTGTTTAATTTAAAAAAAAGTATGAAAGTTCTTGGTGTTTTTTTAAGAAAAGTTTTAAGAATCTCGGGGTCCCCTAGTGTCTATTTTTCAAAGAGAATCTTAAAGAATGTCCCTTAGTCCCTTAGTGTATTTTTTTAGAAAAGCTGAAAAAATCTCGGTGCCCCCAGTGTTATTATTTTAAAAAAATCGAAATAATCTCGGGATCCCCTAGTATGATTTTTTTTTTAGAAAATCTCAAAGAACGTAAGTAGTCCCTAGTGTTATTATTTTATTAGTTACGAAATAATTTCGGGATCCCCTAGTATGGTTTTTTGGAAAATCACAAAGAATCTCGAGTTACTCTAGTGTCTTTTTTAGAGAATTTAGAGAAACTAAAAGAATTTTGGGTTCCTCTAGTGTCTGTTTTTAGAGAAGTTGAAAGAATCTCTAGGCGCCCTAGTGATTTCTCCTTCAAATGTGAAGGAATCTCTTAGTCCACTAATGTTTTTTTCTAAAGGATCTAAAAGGATCTCGGTGGTCCCTAGTGCTATTATTCCTATTTTATAAAATACTCAATAATCTCGGAAATCTCGGAGTCCCTAGTGTTTTTTTTTTTTTAGGGACGTTAGAGATTTTTCGTTAAAATGTGGAAAAATCTCGAGGTGCCCTTGTGGTTTTTCTTTTTGTTTTAGATAAACTTTAGGAATCTCGGGGTCTCCTAGTATCTTTTTTTCGAAGAGAAACTTTAAGAATGTCGGCGTCCCCCAGTATATTTTTTTAGAAAAGCTGAAAGAATCTTGGTACCCCCTAGTGTTATTATTTTATAAAAATCGAAATAATCTCGGTGTCTCCTAGTGTCATTTAGTTTTTAGAGAATCTCAAAGAATCTAAGTGGTCCCTAGTGTTATTATTTTATAAGATATGAAATAATTTCGGGGTCCCCTAGTGTGTTTTTTTTAGAAAATCTCAAGGAATCTCGAGGTCCCCTAGTGTCATTTTTAGAGAAACTGAAAGAATTTTGGGTTTCCTTAGTATCTTTTTTTAGAGAAGTTGAAAGAATCTCCGGGACCCTAGTGATTTTTCCCTAAAATGTGAAATAATCTCGGGGTCCCTTAATGTTTTTTTTCTCTAAAGAATCTGAAAAATCTCGGTGGTCCATAGTGCTATTATTTTATAAAATACGAAATAATCTTACAGTCCCTAGTGATTTTTTAAGAGAAGTTTTAAGAATTTCGGGGTCTCCTAGTATCTTTTTTTTTGAAGAGAAACTTTAAGAATTTCGATGTCCCTTAGTATTATTATTTTATAAATATCGAAAAAATCTCGGGGTCTCCTAGTGTGGTTTTTTAGAAGATCTGCAAGAATCTCGAGGTGCTCTAGTGTCTTATTTAGAGAATCTGAAAGAATCTCCAGTAACCCTAGTGACTTTTCTTTAAGATGTGAAAGAATCTGGAGGTACTGTAATGTTTTTTTCTAAAGAATCTGAAAGGATTTCGGTAGTCCCTAGTGATATTATTTTATAAAATATGAACTACCGAGTGTCTTTTTTTCGAAGAGAAACTTAAAGAAACGCCAGGGACGTTAGACATTTTTCGTTCATTTCTCGTCGGAGTATTATTATCAAAAATTGTTACACAATTTGAATTTTCTTACGAAAATCTGAATGCGTAGAATAAAAAAATAAAGACGGATTCATAAACGACACGTACAGGAGTAACTTATTTTACAAAATATAAATTTGTTGGGCGCTTTTAGTGATAAAGTTACAGACATTTATGCAGAATCCAAAATGGAAGGGAAAAAAAACTTAAATTTGTTTCAATTCTGGGTTTGGATTTGGAACCTTTTGTTCGCAATTTAAATTTAAAATTTAGTAATACTTTCTTGAGATACTTTTTCTAACTCTAAAACCATACCGCGTGTTCCAGATTTTGTCTTGAAAATCAGTTTTGAAATAATGTCTACAGCAGTTTTTATATGGATAAGATTACTAAAAATAGGGTACATAAATAACAATCATTTTTATTTTATAATAAACACTAATAATTCGCAATTTTAAATTGATAATTTCAAAGATCATTTGTCTATTGTCGTATACACCGTGTGTTAGGCGTTTACAATATTTAATATTGTTTTAATATTTAATTTAATAAAATGAACTCTTGTTTTGATCATTTTCGAACCAGAGTTTCCAATACCAAAATATTTTAAAATAGTCGCTAGCTTTCACTAATTTTTTTTCCACTTAAAGTGTTGCTTTATCACAAGCTATTGCCAACACGAGAGCACAAATTAGAAAAAATTTCTCAATTTGATCGTTCTCCAGCAGAATTCTTGCTCTGCATCACCGGTCAATTTCCATTTTAATATTAAAAAACCCACAATTAAAATACTTTCTGTAGCCCAGAATACGTTATGTAGTAACGCATGTGTGTAATACTCACTCATGCTTCCTTTAACAAATTGATATCATCAACACCTTTTACCTTGAAACCAGCAGTCCGCAACTAAAACACTTTTTCTTTAGATTAAAAAAAGGTCAGTCCTTTGTATTAAAAACCACATTAAAATAAAAATTCTAACATTTACTCGAAAATCGCTAATCCCATTTCCTGCAACCATTGCTTACATTAATCTTTACAATAACGAGGAACTTTCACTGAGTTAAAGGCTACCACAAATTCGAATTCTAAATGTTAGTACCATGAATAATAAAATTAAGTCGCTTTACCGCGACGAATAATTGGCTCGCATATGGGCGCTTTCGTACCATTCTTATTAATAAAACCGACACAATGCTTATCAGGGGAAGTGTATTCAGAACAATACGCGGCCCCGTTTCTGGTTAGAGAAACCCAAAACGCGAAAAAACTGGCTAAAGTACAAAGAAACGCCGGAAATTTCAACGCTCGCACAGGACACAACCCTCAAAAGCTCTCCGTTTTATAACAAACATTGACATTTATCTGCATAAAAATAAAAATACTCAAGAGGTCGTTCTTAATGATACTTTACCTTGACAATCCCCCAATCCAAGTAACCCCAACAGAATCACAATCACACTAAAACCGGCCCTTCCTCGGTGACATTTCATCATGTCTACAGCCGCCACCACACATTTATGAAAACACAGCTAGTTTGAACACTAATGAATTCTCTTTCTGTCGAACATTTCTGGACTTTTCGAAGACCGACAAACTCGCGCTCTGCCGCCACGACCACTACTGGAATGAAAGTTCACGAGCTGGCGTGTTTTGTGGTTTTGTGCCATTTCAATTCTTAAGGTGAACTAGACAGGTGATGTGGGGACCATGGTGTGACGTCACGGCGGAATAAGAATCAACTGTTGATGATACCAAACGTAGAGGCTTAACGGTTTCTTCGTATGTCTGTAGTGGAGTACTAACAGTTGTTGGGCTGCAGGGCATGGGTCAGGACGAGAAAAAATTGTGTCTGCGGCGTGTGTACGCTAGACGTGTAGCGTTTGGTAATTGATGGGAGATGGGAGTGTTTGGAAGAGGTCGGTTTAGAGGGCAAATTGTCTGGAATTAAGAATTTCGAAAATTGACTGAGCCGTTCTAAAATTTGGCGAAATTTGCTTACTGATTTTCGAAAAATAGGTTTGAAAATTCATATAGTAATAGTTCTTAAAAAATCAAAAAGCAGAAAGAAATAGTAACAATAATATTGAGAAACTTGAAGAGTCTTAAAACGAGGAAACTATTTTTTGCAGAAACAATGTAATTTAAGCATTTCAAGCTTCTATTTCTTTTGTGTTAACTTGGCGTAAATCACGTCAGGCTTTTATTATTTTAATGGAGTAGAACTAATGGCTCTAATTTAATAAGGAAACTAGAATTTACTACGATATTACCTAAAGAAAAAATAAATTCACAACAGAAATAAATTTTTAAGCCACTTCAATTTTTTTCGTTCGTGTCACCATTATTCGTCCTAGGAAAAAGTTCGTAAAGACACTTGGGTGTAAACTGGTATTATCATACTTATATATTTATGAAACTTACACAACTATGCAATGCCTCATATTGTAATAAGCTTTTATTGCACTTGTGACGTAATTTTTATCTAAATTAAATCTAATATATGGAAACACTTTAGCTTTTTTATCATCATTCTCTTTTTGGTTTTTTCGGTTTAGAATTTTTGACGTCCCATTTTTCAATTTTCTGATTTTTCGATTTTTCAATTTTTCAATGTTTTAATTTTCCATTTTTTACATGTCTTAATTTTTTTCCTACTTTGTCATTGTTTCGAATTTTCAAATTTTCGATTTTTTCATTTTTCGGCTTTTCGATTTTTCTGCCTCTCGATTTTTCAATTTTTCGAGTTTCCGCTTTTTCAATTTTTAATTTTTCGTTTTTACAGCTTGAGGAATTTTCGTTTCGTTTTTCAATTTTTCGATATTTAGATTTTTCGGTTTTTCAATTTTTCATTTTTTGATTTTTCAGTTTTTTGAGTTTCCGATTTTTTGATTTTTTAATTTTTCAGTGTTTTTATCAATTTCTCAATAATTCAATCTTTCAATTTTCAGATTTTCGAAACTTTCAATTTTTGGTTTTTCAGTTTTTGAAATGTTGCATGTTTCAGTTGATTTTCTAACTTTTCAATTTTTGATTTTTCTATTTTTTGGTTTTTCCGGTTTACAGTTTTTCGGGTCAATTTTTCGACTACATATTTAATTTTTCGAGTTTTCAGCTTTCCCATTTTTCAATTTTTTAATTTTTCGATATTTTGATTTTTCAATTTTGTTTCAAATTTTCCAAAGTTTCAATTTTTTATCGTTCAGTGTTTCGATTTTTCGATTTTTCAATTTTTCAATGTTTTAATTTTCCATTTTTTCCGTATTTTAATTTTTTTCCTACTTTGTCATTGTTTCGAATTTTCAAATTTTCGATTTTTTCATTTTTCGGCTTTTCGATTTTTCTGCCTCTCGATTTTTCAATTTTTCGAGTTTTTGCTTTTTCAATTTTTAATTTTTCGTTTTTACAGTTTGTGGAATTTTCGTTTCGTTCTTCAATTTTTCGATATTTAGATTTTTCGGTTTTCCAATTTTTCATTTTTTGATTTTTCAGTTTTTTGAGTTTCCGATTTTTTTTATCTATTTCTCAAAAATTCAATCTTTCAATTTTCAGATTTTCGAAACTTTCAATTTTTGGTTTTTCAGTTTTTGGATTGTGCATGTTTCAGTTTGATTTTCTAATTTTTCAATTTTTCGATTTTTCTATTTTTTGGTTTTTCCGGTTTACAATTTTTGAAGTCAGTTTTAATTACATATTTAATTTTTGAGTTTTCAGTTTTCCCATTTTTCAATTTTTTGATTTTTCGATATTTTGATTTTTCAATTTTTTTTCAAATTTTCCAAAGTTTCAATTTTTTTTTGTTCAGTGTTTCGATTTTTCGATTTTTCAATTTTTCAATGTTTTCATTTTTCATTTTTTCCATGTTTTCATTTTTTTCCTACTTTGTCGTTGTTTCGAATTTTCAAGTTTTAGATTTTTGGATTTTTCGATTATTTATTTTTCAATTTTTTTAGACATTCAAATTTTTCGATATTAAGATTTTGTTTTTTCAGTTTTTCAAGTTTTACAGTTCGTCAAATTTTCAATTTTTCATTTTTCAGTCTTTAGATTTTTATTTAATTTTTCATTTTTCCACTTTTTCAATTTTTTAGTTCTCCAGTTTTCTAAGTTTAAAATTTTCCGATATCGTGCATCGATTATTAAATTGTTCGACTTTTCAGTTGTTCAATTTTTCAATTCTTTGATGTTTCGACTTTTCACTTTTCAATTTCCCGATTTTTTGATTTTCAGTTTTACAATTATTATTTTCCGATTTCTCAAATTTACGATATTTCAGTGTCGTTTTTTTTGGTTTTTCCGGTTTACAATTTTTGACGTCAATTTTTCGATTACATATTTAATTTTTTGAGTTTTCAGTTTTCCCATTTTTCAATTTTCTAAAGTTTCAATTTTTTATCGTTCAGTGTTTCGATTTTTCGATTTTGCAATTATTCAATGTTTTAATTTTTCATTTTTTCCATGTTTTCATTTTTTTCCTACTTCGTCATTGTTTCGAATTTTCAAATTTTCGATTTTTCAGTTTTTCAATTTTTTATTTTTTGATTTTTCAGTTTTTTGATTTTCCAGTTTTTTGATTTTTCAGTGTTTTTATCAATTTCTCAAAAATTCAATCTTTCAATTTTCAGATTTTCGAAACTTTCAATTTTTGGTTTTTCAGTTTTTGAATTGTGCATGTTTCAGTTTGGTTTTCTAATTTTTCAATTTTTCGATTTTTCTATTTTTTCGTTTTTCCGGTTTACAGTTTTTGACGTCAATTTTTCGACTACATATTTAATTTTTTGAGTTTTCAGTTTTCCCATTTTTCAATTTTTTTGATTTTTCGATGTTTTTTCCATGTTTTCATTTTTTTCCTACTTTGTCATTGTTTCGAATTTTCAAATTTTAGATTTTTGGATTTTTCGATTATTTATTTTTCAATTTTTCAGTTTTAGACATTCAAATTTTTCGATATCAAGATTTTGATTTTTCAGTTTTTCAAGTTTTACAGTTCGTCAAATTTTCAATTTTCCATTTTTCAGTCTTTAGATTTTTCATTTAATTTTTCATTTTTTCACTTTTTCAATTTTTTAGTTCTCCAGTTTTCTAAGTTTCGAATTTTCCGATATCATGCATCGATTATTTAATTGTTCGACTTTTCAGTTATTCAGTTGTTCAATTTTTCGATATTTTGATGTTTCGACTTTTCACTTTTCAATTTCCCAGTTTTTCGATTTTCAGTTTTACAATTATTATTTTCCGATTTCTCAAAGATACGATATTTCAATGTCTCGTTTTTTTATTTCTCAATTTTTGATTTTCTGTGTTTCGATTTTTCAATTTTTCAATGTTTTAATTTTTCAATTTTCCAATTGACCACTTTCCAATTCAATCAAACCAAACTTTATTGATGTTGAAAACTGAATTTTTCCATGTTTTAATTTTTTTCCTACTTTTTAATGTTTCGAATTTTCAATTTTTCGATTTTTGGATTTTTTGATTATTTATTATTTCAATTTTTCAGTTTCAGACTTTAAAATTTTTCGATATCACATTTTCGACTTTCCAGTTTTTCAAGTTTTACAGTTCGTCAAATTTTCAATTTCTCGATTTTTGGATTTTTTGGTTATTTAATTTTTCAATTTTTCAGTTTTAGATTTTAAAATTTTTCGGTATCAAGTTTTCCAATTATCAATTTTTCAAGTTTTACAGTTCGTCAAATTTTCAATTTGTCATTTTCCAGTTATTAGATTTTTTAATTAATTTTTCAATTTTTCAATTTTTCAATTTTCCAGTTTTTTAAGTTTTCAATTTTCCGATATCATGCAACAGTTATTTAATTGTTCGACTTTTCAGTTATTCAATTGTTCAATTTTTCGATTTTTCGATGTTTCGACTTTTCATTTTTTCAATTTCCCGATTTTTCGATTTTCAGTTTTATACTTGTTATTTTCCGATTTCTCAAGTCTTGTTTTTTTATTTTTAAATTTTTGATTTTCAATTTTTCAATTCTCCCATTTTTCCAATTTGTCACTTTATTTTAATTTATCTCTTTTCAATTTTTCCATGCTTTAATTTTTTTCTCAATATTCTGAATTTTCAATTTTTCAATTTTTGGATTTTTTCATTATTTATTTTTTCAATTTTTCAGTTTTAGACTTTAAAATTTTTCGATATCAAGATTTTGATTTTTCAGTTTTTCAAGTTTTATAGTTCTTCAAATTTTCAATTTTTCAATTTTTCAATTATTCAGTTTTTCTATTTCATGAATTTTCAATTTTCCTGTTATTCTTGTTTCCGTTTTTTTGCAATTTCTTGATGGTTAAATTTTTCAATTTTTCGGCTTCTCATTTTTCGATGCCTTTTTTCCATGTTTCTTTTTTCCCAATTTTTTTATTTTTCTATTTTTCAGTTTTTTGATTTTTCGATTTTTCAATTTTTCGATTTTCCGGTTTATTAAATTTTTCAGTTTTTAGACTTTAAAATTTGTCGATTTAAATTTTTCTTTTTTTTTTCTTTTTCTACTTTCAAATTTTTCATTTTTTTACTTTTTCGATAGTTCGATATTTAGATTTTTCAAATTATCAGTTCATCAATTAATCGACTTTTCCACTTTCCATGCTTTCAACTTTTCAATTTTTCAGTTTTTCGATTTTTCGATTATGTATTCGATTTTCAGATTTTTCGATTTTTCGATTTTCGACTTTTCAACTATTTGATTTTTGAGCTTTTCAGTTTAATTTTTCGAATTTTCGAATTTCGGATTTTTCGATGTCTCAATTTTTCAATATCAATTTTTCGGTGTTTCAATTTTCCGATGATGTATTTAATTTTTTGATTTTACAGTTTTTTAATTTTTCAAATTTATGAGTTTTCGATGTTTCAAGTTTTTTTTCAATTTCTTCATATTTCCAATCTTACAATTTTGTAATTTTTCGATTTCTCGATTTATTAAATTTTTCAGTTTTTAGACTTTAAAATTTTTTGATATCAATTTTACGATTTTTTGATTATTCGATTTGGCGATTTTTCGATTTTTCGGTTTTTCGAATTTCAAATTTGTCGAATTTTCGATTTCTTGATTTTTTAATTGTTCAACTTCTCGATTTTTCGATTTTTCAGTTTTAAAACTATTTAATTTTTGCAGTTTTTCAATTTAATTTTTCGAAATTGAAATTTTGGATTTTTTGATGTTTGGATTTTGAAATTTTCCGATTTTCGATTTTTCGCCTTTTCAACTATTTGATTTTAGAGTTTTTCAGTTAATTTTTTGAATTTTCGAATTTCGGATTTTTCGATGTCTCGATTTTTCGATTTTTCTAATTTCAAATTTGTCGAATTTTTGATTTTTTGATTTTTTAATTGTTCAATTTTTCGATTTTTCGATTTTTCAGTTTTAAAACTATTTAATTTTTCAGTTTTTCAATTTAATTTTTCGAAATTGAAATTTTGGATTTTTTGATGTTTGGATTTTTCAATTTTCCGATTTTCGATTTTTCGACATTTCAACTATTTGATATTTGAGTTTTTCAGTTTAATTTTTTGAATTTTCGAATTTCGGATTTTTCGATGTCTCGATTTTTCGATTTTTCGATTTTTCAATTTTTCAATATCAATTTGTCGATTTTCAATTTTCCGATGATGTATTTAATTTTTTGATTTTACAGGTTTTTATTTTATCAAATTTATGATTTTTCGATGTTTCAATTTTTTTTCAATTTCTCCATATTTCCAATGTTATAATTTTGTAATTTTTCGATTTCTCGATTTATAAAATTTTTCAGTTTTTAGTCTTTAAAATTTTTCGATATCAATTTTTCGATTTTTCAAAGTTCCTACTTAATTTTTTGTTTTTTCGAAAATCATTACTTCATCGACTTTTCGACTTTTAGTTTTTTCGACTTTTTAACTTTTCAATTTTACGTTTTTTTGATTATTCGATTTTTCGGTGTTCAGTTTTTCAACTATTTAATTTTTCAGTTTTGCAATTTAATTTTTCGAATTTGGAATTTCGGATATGTCGATGTTTCGATTTTCCGAACTTCCGATTTTTGGATTTTTCAATGTTTCATTTTCTCACTTCGGTTTTTTTAATTCCCTATTTAATTTTTTGATTTTTCAAAATTCATCAATTTAGCGACTTCTCGACTTTTCGTTTGTTCGACTTTTCGACTTTTCAATTTTTCGATTTTTTAATTTTTTGAATTTCGATTTTCGATTTTTCGATTATTCGGCTTTTTGATTTTCTAATTGTTCATTTTCTCCATTTTTCGATTTTTCAACTATTTAATTTTTCACTTTTTCAATTTAATTTTTCGAATTTTGGAATTTCGGATTTGACGATGTTTCTTCGATTTTTCGATTTTCGGATATTTTTCAATTTTTCATTATTAATTTTCTTGATTTTTCAATTTTTCGATTATCTGTTTAATTTTTTGATTTTACAGTTTTTCAATTTTTCAAGTTACTGATTTTTCGAAGTTTCAATTGTTTTTTTCAATTTCTCCATATTTTCGATTATTCAAATTTACAATTTTGTAATATTTCGATTCCTCGATTTATTACATTTTTCAAATTTTTAAGTTTTGATTTTCCAGTTTTTCGCTTTTTCATTCTGCGATTTTAAACTTTTTCAAATGTCAGCTTGAATATATTTTTTTTTTTGTGGAAAAAAATTGCGAAACAAAAAATCGAGAAATGAAAAATTTAAATCGAGAACTTGAAAAAGCGAAAATGGGAAAATTTCTTTGAATTTGATGTCGATTTATGGTAATTCGTGGGCACGGTTATGGAAATTGATTAAAATTGAAGTGTTCTGGCGACATCTAGTGTGCGTGGAAAAATGACAGCTAACGATATTGACGCGACGTACTTTCTATTTTACCGACAATTCAAATTTGACATTTTTTTACTGTTTTCACGTTTGACGTTTCTCATAACCTGTTTTGTAATATGTACATAATTAATTTTTAAATTTTTCTTACAAAAACACCCCTCAGCACATGAAGAAATTAGCTTTAAGTAAATTTTTACGTTTGCCGCAAACGTATAAGTAAGTTACAATAATTCCCCGGACTGTGACAACACCCCCAAAGTAACTTGTTTCAGTATTAATCTAGTTTTGAAAACAACCCACAAACACAATTTATTAACCGACTAACAATAACCTAAAATGGAGCGGTAAGCCCTACTAATCTAAGCAGTGAACACAACTCTCAATATCATTCAATTGGCAGAGAGCTACAAGGATCAGGACCCCCCGAACCCACTGAACCTGATAAAGATAAGAAATCAGAAGACGCAAACGTTCCGCAGCCTCCAAGCCCCAACGCCTTGAAGGTTGCAGCTGCTGAGTGTTTAAACAGCTGGGTGAATTATCTCCAGGTTAGTTAATTCGAAATATAATCAAAAAGTCACTCGAAATTTTGCGTCCAGATGCTCAACAGCATGTGCACTGCCGGGCTCCGCCTCTCCCAGTCCCTCTCCACCCTCGCCCAAATGCAGAACGCCCACTTAGCCAACCTGTGCCAAACCAGCTGGGAAGAACTCACCAAAGCCACGATTTTCGCCTCAAATTCCGTCAAAACCCACATCGCGGCAGCCATGCAAGACATGAGCATCGGCGACACCTTCACTGAAAGCGACGCCCAAAGACAACAAGACCACAACCAGCAAATCATCACCGAGAACCTCCTCACCTTCATCAACCTCCAGTACCAGTTCTCCATAGCCGGGTGTGAGTGCTTCGGCTCTATGGCCATGTGCCCCTCTTGTCAAGCCACCCCCGGGGGCATCCACGACCCCGACTGCAGCATGGCGGCGCTGCAGCAGTGTTTCGCGCGACTCTCCATGCACGAGTCGCGCTCGCAGACCTCCAGCCCCCATTTCTCCACGCTAGACAGCCCCAAAGGGGCGGAGTTCCAGCGGCAGCAAAGTCCGTTAGGTGCGGAGCCGAGAGGGCCGTCGCCTTATCAAGAGGTGCACAGGGGGCCGAGCCCCATTCACGCGTTTTCTGAGACCATTCGGGGACCGGGGCCTATCGAGACCATCAGGGGGCCGTTTCCGAACCCGGGGCAGCTGTTCTCGATGAAGTCGCCGTTTCCGGGGAGGGGGTCGCGGTCGCCGCTGCATTTTCCGCTGTTTCCGATTAGCGGGCAGAGGAGGTGGTCGGAGGCGGCGGCGGCCGAGGTGGTGGGGGATAGTGGGGACGGGACGATGCGGAGGTGGTCGATGCCGTGGGACTGCGGGCGGGTGGAGGCGGGGCCGTGGCAGCAGAGGTACTTGCCGTCGAAGTTGGTGGTGCCGCCGGCGAGTACGTCGCAGGATAGGAGTCGGAGTACTACTCCAGGTGGGTTTTCACAAATGTTCACTGGTACACCACTGACTGTTAGATCGTTATGCAACAAATGTCAACTTTTTTTCACAATTTGTGTCACACCAAAAGGCAAAGTCCAATCTTTTATCAATATACAAAATATACACACAAAGGAATTGTAAGAAACTTCATTCAAAATTATTTTAATTTTAATTTGTGTTTGATTAATTCTGTGTTCGCAAGACATGTAACATTCACAATTCAACCGATTACTGTTGTTTAAAGAACGATAAAACTGTGAATTTATTTGAAATTTAGTCTAAAAGTCTTAGAAAATACATTTTCCAAGTGTTTTATGAAACAATTTTGCATGAAACTGGAAATTCAAGGGTTAAAAAATGCTGTTTAAGTTTAAAATTTACCTCAAATGCGCGCGTACACATGTATTTTTTTTGTCCTCCGGTTTTTGGTCGCCTTTTTTGTTTTTTTTTTACTTTTTCTGTCTGTTTTTGTTGTTTTTTAGCAATTTTTTTTTATCATCTATTTTTGGTATTTTTTTGGATCTTTTTACTACAATTTTTGCGTTTTTTGTTGTTTTTGAGTTGTTTTTTTTCCACAATAAAAAAAGTCGACTTAAAAAGGGCCACAAAAATACAATTAAAAAAGGAATAAAAAACGACAAAAATGTACTACTAAAAAAAAGGTACGTCAAAAAAGACACCAAAAACGACAAAAAAATTTAAACCAAAAAAAAAGGACAAAAGAGACGATAAGAACAAACGACAAAAAATATTATAAAAAAACCAGACAAAAAATGGCAGCAAATAAATATGACAAAAAAAGACTAAAAAAAAAGGCGATAAAAATCGAACAAAAAGCGACAAAAAGGGTCACAAAAATACAATTAAAAAAACGATGAAGAAAAGGGGGAATAAAACAAACAAAAAAAAACGGCGACCAAAAAATATGACAAATAGATTAGACAAATAATAACTAAAAAAACATTTAAAAACAGCATGCATAAAATGATAAAAAAGTTAAAAAAGTTTAAAAAACAAAAGAAGAACAGATGAGAAAACAGATGATAAAAAATGGATTGAAAAACGAGACAAAAACGGTGGTAAATAAATGTGACAAAAATACAAAAAGAAAGCCGACAAAAATGGAACAAAAAACGCCAAAAAAGCCACAACATTGTGGCAAACAAATATGATTAAAAAATATAATAATAAAAAAACAAAAAAGAGAAAAAATTGCCTAAGAAAGGACGACATAAAAATGTGACTAATTAAAAACGTGTTTTTTGAACATATTTTGTGTTTTTGGGCACCTGTTTTTACATTTTTGTGGCCTTTTTTCTTGTCTTTTTTTAAATAATTTTTTGTCGTCTATTCTTGCTTTTATTGTCTTTTTTTTACTTTCTTTGACTCCTTTTTTTGTCGTTTTCTTGGTCGCTTTTTGAATTTTTTGTCGCATTTTTGAGGACTTGAGGACTTTTTGTTGTATTTTATTCCTTTGTTTGTGGTTTGTTTTTTCACATTTTTATGGCATTTTTTGCCATCTTTTTTTGGTCGTGTTTTCGTTTCTTCTTGTTTTCTCTTATTTCATTTATTCATATTTTTTTGGCCGCATTTTGTATTTTTTTGTAATATTCTTTTGTTGTTTTTTTCACCAATTGTTTTGTCCTTATTTCTTCTTTTTTTGTATGGTTTTTGTTATCTTTTCTGTTGTTTTTTTAATTATTTTGTCGTGTTTTTTTAAATCTGATTCTTATGGCCTTTTTTTAATCGGCTTTTTTTTGTTCTGACTTCTGTCATATTTTTTTATCGCAATTTGGTTGCGTGTTTCGCGTTTTTTATTTTTTAACTTTTTTTTGTAATGTTTGAATGTGGTTTTTAATCTTTTTCCTCGGCCTTTCGGAACGCAATGTTTTTGTCGAAAAAAAGAAAAAAATGGCCTTAGAAAAGACGACAAAAAAGACTAAAAAAAAACAGATTTTTTAATAATATTTTTGAGTTGCCTTTTCGTGTTTTGGCGCCAGTTTTCGGATTTTTTGTCGCTTTTTTAATTTATTTTTGTTTTCACATTTTTATTGCCTTTTCGTAACTCCTTGTTTTTTCTCGTATTTCATTTATTCATATTTTATTAGCCGCATTTTGAGGCCCTTTTTTTTCATTTTTTTTTGTATTTTTGTCACCTTTGTTTAATTTTTTGTGGTCATTTTTTAGTAGGATTTTTTGTTTTTCTTTTTTACGTGTATTTACTACTATTATTGATCCGTTTTTAGTCCCTTTGTTATCTTTTTTGCCGTCTGTTCTTGCCTTTGTTGTCTTTTTAACCCCATTTTTTTGTCGATTTTTTGTCGTTTTTTGAATTTTTTGTCGCATTTTTGGCGCCTTTTTTTAGTGATTTTTTATTCTTTTTTTTGTGATTTTTTTCACATTTTTGTAGCCTTTTTTGTCAACTTTTTTTGGTCATCTTTTCGTGATGCCTCTTCGTATCTCCTTGTTTTTTCTCGTATTTCATTTATTCGTATTTTGTTGGCCTCATTTTGTGGCCTTTTTTGTCGTTTTTTTTTTTTAGATTACTTTTTTGGTAAAATTTTTTTGTTGTGTTTTTCGGCGATTGTCGTTATTTTTTCTTCTTTTTTTTTAGTTGTATATTTTTTGTCGCTTTTTTGTCATCGTTTTTGTTGTTTTTTGTTCTTTTGGCGTGTTTTTTTTTTGTCTTGATTCTTATGGCCTTTTTTAGTCGTTTTTTTTTTAGTCTGACTATTTTCTGTCATATTTTTTTATTGTGGTTTTTAATCTTTTTTATCACACTTTTGTAACGCAATGTTTTTGTCGAAAAAGAGAAAAAATGGCCTAAGAAAGTTCCATAAAAAAAGGCTACAAAAATGTGTCTAAAATACCTCTTTTTTTTTTAATTGTTTCTTCATGTTTTTTGGCGCGCTTTTTCGCATTTATGTGACCTTTTTTCTTTTGTTTTATTTCTTTTTCAGTATTTTCGTCTCCTTTTTTTTTCATTTTTTGTGGTCATTTTTATTAGGTTTTTGTTATTCTTTTTTACGTTCATGTACCACTATTTTTGGTCCGTTTTTAGTCCATTTTTTATCTTTTTTTTGTCATCAGTTCTTGCCTTTGTTGTCTTTTTTACTCCCATTTTTTTACGTTTTTTTTTCCGCTTTTTTGAATTTTTCGTCGCATTTTTTTAGGCTTTTTTTTTGGTGATTTTTATTCCTTTTTATTAGTGATTTGTTGCCACAATGCCCTTTTTTGTCAACTTTTTCGTCTTTTCATTGTGCCTTTTCGTATCTTCTTGTTTTTCCTCGTATTTCATTTATTCATACTTTATTGACCGCAGTTTGTGGCCTTTTTGTCATCTTTTTGTAATTCTTTTTTTTTATTGTAATTTTTTTCTTATTCTTTTGGCCTTTTTTAGTACGGCTTTTTTTATTCTGACTTATTTTCGGTCATTTTTTAATCATATTTTTCTGTCGCAGTTTGTTTGCATTTTTTGCGTTTTTTTTTTCAAATTGTTTTCTCTTTTTTTACTGCGGTTTTTAATTTTTTTTGTTGTCCTTTCGTAATGAAATGTTTTTGTCGAAAAAGAGAAAAAAATGGCCTTGGAAAGGACGACAAAAAAAGGCTACAAAAATGTGACTAAAAACGTGATTTTTTTAATTATATTTTTGAGTTGATTTTTTGTTTTTTTTTTTTGTGCCTATTTTCGCATTTTTGTGGCCTTTTTTTAGTGTCTTTTTTTTTAAATTCGTTTTTAGTAGTGTTTGTGGCTTTTTTTTGTATCATTTTTTAAGTAGACTTTTTTGTTCTTTTTCATTATTTTTTGATTCGTTTTTAGTCCCTTTTTTAGCTTTTTTTGTCATCTGTTCGTGCCTGTATTTGTTTTACTTCCTTTTTTTGACTCCCATTTTTTGTCATTTTTTGACGCTTTTTGAATATTTTGTCGTATTTTTGAGGCCGTTTTAGTTGTTTTTGTATGCCTTTTTTTAGTGATATTTTTCGTCACATTTTTATGAACTTTTTTGTCATCTTTTTTGTTTTTTATTCTTTAGGCGTGTTTTTTTTATCTGATTCTTATATTACCTTTTTTAGACGGCTTTTTCCCCTTTTTTTTCGTGTATTTCCCTCTCTTTTTTTTCGGTCAAATTTGTTGCAGGTTGGTTGGGTTTTTGGTGTTTATATATATATATTTTTTTCTCTTTTTTTTTATTTTTTTACAGCAGTTTTTAAATCTTTTTTGTTGTCCTTCGTAACGCAATGTTTTTGTCGTTGTTTTGGATCTCCTTTTTTTTTATTTTTTTTTTTTTAATTCCTTTTTTCATTCATACTTTTTTGCGCATTCTTTGTCGGTGTTTTATCACTTACTCGTTTTTTTTATGGTTTATATAAATTTTTTTTGTTTCGTTTTTCTGCTGTCATCTTTTTTGTCGTTGTTTCTTATTGACATTTTTTGTGTTTTTTTGACTTTTTTTCCCAGTAATATTTTTTGTCATTTGTTTTTTGTTTTTTTTGCACCTTTTTGCCTTTTTTTTAACTTTCTTTATTGTCGCATTTTTTGTGGCTGTTTTTGTTGCCCATTTTGTCTCTTTTTTCATCGTTTTTATCTTGTCCTTGCTGAAAAAAACTTACTTTGCCTGTAATTAAATAATCTGGACATTTTTCAAGAATTTCAACATTTTCAAAATCTGTAAAATTTTGAATTATGTCGAAATGTCATAATATGATTCAAAAGAACCAATTTGTTTACGCAGTTCGTCCAGACAGTTTATGACGTCACCTCAAAATTTTCCAAATAAATAAATAATAAAAATAATTTGAATTTTAAATACATTTTGAACGTAATAAAATTCCAATAACCAAAAAAAAATAAATTTTCTTGCAGAAGCAATACCTCAACCCGGCACCATCACCAGCGGCGAAGGCTTAGCCGAAGCCATCCAGTTACTCTCGTGCCGCCCCACTCGCCAATCGATACCTCAAACAGCACTGCCAGGACACCCTCTTCCCGGAGGACCCTTCATACCCCCGTGGGCCGAAACCCACGAAGAACGAATGCACAGACGCATGTACCCAGGCCCGGCCTCCCAGCGGTAAAAACCAAAATCCCGAACAGTCAATTCTTAAATCACTCCACGTTATAGAGGCAACTGGCAGTCCATCGACGTCCCCCACGCCAGCGGCATGTCCGTCACCGAGCACTACGACATATTCCCACCAGGGCTTCCACTAACCTCTAGGAAAAGCAGCTCATCCACGGACTCGTCGTCATGTCTTTCCATACACAGCAGATCCACAACGAGCAGCTCGGAACGCGGCTCGGACAGTGCCGCCAGCGGTGGCGTACGTACAATTTAATTATTTAATTTTTCATTTTTTAATTAAAATATCTAGGACGCAATTCGGCTGCACACGAATTTGTACTCCATGTGGAGCGGTAGCGAGCACTTGCCATTTATACGACTGCCAGAGTCGCAAGAGCCACAGGACGACAGCGACACGGACGATCCTCCTACGGAGAAGAGCGGAAAAACGCCTTTTCCTAGACCAACTTAAGTGTCATATTGCTAAGTTAAGTCATTTTTTATGAGGCCGTCAAGGTTAGTGATTTTTTTATTGATTCAAGGAGATGAGAGGCAAACAGGGGTTTAGCGTAATATAAGGACCAATTATTTATAATAATCGATTTTTAAAGTAGTGTTTTGTATTCCGGTATTCACGTGTTTGGTGTTCTGTATTATGATGGGACGTGTGTAATGACGTAGAGGAAGGTGGGGCAAGTTATAACAGTGTGTCCCCCTTTCTCTACTTTTGTTATTATTAGACTGTATCTCAAGTAAAACTAAAACTGCATGAATGCATATACACTACAGCTGTGAAATGTCTAATTTTCTCGTTTAGATGTTCGATGTTTTTCTAGTCATGTGTTGTACAGGGTGTTTGAAAAGAAAATCGAACGACTTATGTAGCTCAAATGAGAAACTATAGCGTTTCTCGTCTCAGTGCAATCGCACTTTTGAAACACTTTGAACAAGGTTTGTCTGGTACAAACAAACATGTCCGTTTTACGGATTATTTATTTTATTAGTGTTGATTCTTATATATAAAATTTTATACTGATAATAAAATGTACAAGTACAATTACCTAACACTTATTTTCCCCTAAAAACAATTTCGGTAACTTCGAAAACAAGTTAAAACTTTCAAAAAGTCTTTAATTTAAAGCGTCTGCTTGTCAAATTTTGAGTGAAGTTCACAAGTTGAGTGCGTCGTCGGAATTGTGCCAGGTCCTGCAACCTTTCATGAAAACCACGGTACAGTTTAGGGTGATTATGTTGTGGGATTCTAGGGGAAGCAGTCCTGGTTGGTCGCCGCTTTCTGCGCAAAAAATTAACATGATCTGAAATGATCTGAATTGATGATAAAACAACCGTGATTTAAGACATTTTATCCACTAAAACCATGTTTCCCTCAAGATTGTTTAAACTCTTTTACTAACAAAGCATTGTGGATATTACTTGAAATGATAATTATTATTTTACCTAGACACAAATATTAAATTATATGATTCTTTTGAAATATTTTTATTTATTTCACGCTTACGATTTTATCAAACCTATGATCTCTTTTAATAATAATAATAATATTAATATATATTTGTCCACCAGAATACTTCTTCCTAAAAGGGACAAAAATATTTGTGTACGATGTATTAAAATAAATTACAATTATCTACCAAATAACAAAAAATTAAATTTTTACACTAATTACTGCTAAGAAAAATTAATTACTGCAATTAATTTGAAAAATAAGGGCAAAATGTCACTAAAGATTCTGGAAAGTCGATTTCTTTAAAAAAAATAGATTTATTATTGAATTTTTGGATTTTATAATTTCTCAATTTTTTAATTTCTAGATTTTCAGTTCTACGATTTCTCAATTTTCCGATGTTTCAGTTTTACGTTTTTTCAGTTTTTCTCCTTTTCAATTTTACGATCTTTAAATATTTGGATTTTTCACTTTTGACTTTTATAAACTCTCAATCTCAATGTTTCCATTTTTTAATTAATCGATGTTTTGATTTTTCTATTTCTTGACTTTCGACTGTTCCGATTTTTCGGTTTTTCAATTTTTTAATTTCTCAGTTTGTGAATATTTCAGTTTTGAGATTTTCAATTTTACCATTTTTCAGTTTTTCTTTAATTTTTCAATTTTTCGAAATTTCAGTTTTGGGATTTTTCAAATTATTTATTATTCAATTTTTCCATTTTACAATTTCTCAATTTATCAGTTTCTCGATTCTCAATTTTCCGATTTTTCATTTTGTTTTTTCAATTTTTCTACTCTTTAATTTTACGATTTTTAAATATTTCGATTTTTCAATTTTTCAAATTTGGCTCTTATACATTCTCTGTTTTCAGTTTTTTATTTCTTCAAATTTTCAATTTTTTAGGTTTTTGATTTTTTAATTTTTCAATTTTTTACGGTTTCGATTTTTTGACTTGACTTTTTGAGTTTTCGATTTTTCAATTTTTTAGTTTCTCAGTTTTTGGATATTTCAGTTTTTCAATTATCCAATTTTTCAAGTTTTTGATTTTTTAATTTTTCAATTTTTTAAGCTTTTGATTTTTTGACTTCACTTTTTGATTTTTCGATTTCTCAATTTTTCAATTTTTGGTTACTTCAGTTTTGGGATTTTTTAGTTTTTCTTTCATTTTTCAGTTTTTCTAAATTTCTGTTTATTTATTATTCAATTTTAAATTTTTTCCATTTTCAACTTCGCTAATTTCGATTTTATCGATTTTTCTATTTTCCCGTTTTTCCGATTTTTCTCCTCTTCAATTTTGCAATTTTTAAATATTTCAATTTTTCAAATTTGACTTTTATAAATTCTCTATTTTTCGATTTTTCTTTTCTTCATTTTTCAATTTTTTAGGTTTTTGATTTTTTAATTTTTCAATTTTTTAAGGATTTGATTTCCAATTTCACTTTTTTAACTTTTCAGTTTTTTAATTTGTCAGTTTTTGAATATTTATTTCAGTTTTGAGATTTTTCAGTTTTTCCATTTTTTAGTTTTTCTTTCATTTTTCAACTTTTCGATTTCTGGATTTTCAATCTTCCGATGTTTCAGTTTTACGTTTTTTTCAATTTTTCTTCTCTTTGATTTTACGATTTTTCAATTTTTTTCTTTTCTAAATTCTCAATTTTACGATTTTACAATTAATCCATGTTTTGATTTTCCCGTTCTTAATTCTTCAGTTTCTCGATTTTTCGATTTCAGTTTTTTGTTTTTTTAATTTTTCAATTTTTCAATTTTTTAATTTCTGATTTTTTGGATATTTTAGTTTTTGGATTTTTTAGTTTTTCTTACATTTTTCAATTTTGCGATTTTCAATTTTTCGATTTCTCAATTTATCAAATTTAACCTTTATAAACTCTCTGTTTTTCGATTTTCCATCTCTTCAATCCTTCAATCTTTTAGGTTTTTGACTTTTTAATTTAGAATTTTTTAAAGTTTAATTTTCGACTTCCCTTTTTTGACTTTTTGATGTCTCAATATTTCAATTTTTTAATTTTTCAATTTTCGGATATTTCAGTTTTTCCATTATTCAGTTTTTCCCTCATTTTTCAAAATTTCAGTTTTGTGATTTTTCAGATTATGTATTTTATTATTCAATTTTTCGATTTCACAATTTTTCAATTTCTCGATTTTCAATTTTCCGATGTCTGAATTTTACGGTTTTTCAATTTTTCTCCTCTTCAATTTTAGGATTTCTAAATGTTTCGAATTTTGACTTTTATAAACTCTCAATTTTTTCAATTTTTAATTAATCCATGCTTCGAATTTCCCATTTCTTGACTGTTTTGCAATTCTTCAACCTTTCAATTTTTCTGGTTTTTGATTTTTCAATTTTATATTTTCAGACGAGGAAATTTAAAAAAAAAATTGTAACTTGATTTTCGCAGATACTTTTTTTAATTTCTCAGTTTTTGGTTATTTCAGTTTTGGGATTTTTCAGTTTTTCTTGCATTTTTCAATTTTTCGAAATTTCTGTTTTGGGATTTTTCTGTTTGTTTATCATTCCATTTTTCAATTTTTAATTTTTTCAATTTCGCGATTTCCAATTTTTTCCTCTACGATGACTTTTATAAACTCTGTTTTTCGATTTTTCACTCTTCAATTCTTCAATTTTTCAGGATTTTGATTTTTCAATTTTATATTTTTTAAGGTTTCGATTTTTCGACTTCACTTTTTTGATTTTTCGATATCTCAATTTTCCAATTTTTTAATTTCTCAGTTTTTTGTTATTACAGTTTTGGGATTAATCAGTTTTTTTCAGTTTTTCGAAATTTCAGTTTTGGAACTTTTCAGTTTATTTCTTATTCAATTTTTCGATTTTACAATTTTTCAATTTCGCGATTTTCAATTTTTCGATTCCTCAATTTACCGATGTTTCAATTTTACGTTTTTCCAATTTTTCTCTCATTCATTGTACGATTTTCCTTTTTTGCCTTTTTATAATCTCAATTTTTGATTTTTTCAATTAATTGAGTTTTGATTTTCCCATTTCTTGACTTTCGACTTTTCGATTTTCCAGTTCTTCAATTCTTCAATTTTTTTATTTTTCAATTTTTCGATTTTCTTTGAGGTTTCAATGTTTCGACTTCACTTTTTTGATTTTTCGGGTTCCCAGTTTTTCAGTTTTTTAGATTGGGAATTAGGTTTTGGGATTTTTCAATATTTCAAGTCTTCTGGATTTTTCGATTTCTCGATTTTTCATAACAATTCTTCGACATTTCATTCCGTAAATTTTTCCAATTTTTAAATTTTGATTTTTCAAATTTTCGATTTTTTTAATTTTTCATTTTTTAATTAAAATATTTAGTACCCAATTAATCTTCACACGAATTTGTACTCGATGTGGAGCGGTAGCGAGCACTTGCCATTTATACGACTGCCAGAGTCGCAAGAACCACAGGACGACAGCGACACGGACGATCCTCCTACGGAGAAGAGCGGAAAAACGCCTTTTCCTAGACCAACTTAAGTGTCATATTACTAAGTTAAGTCATTTTTTATGAGGCCGTCAAGGTTAGTGATTTTTTTATTGATTCAAGGAGATGAGAGGCAAACAGAGGTTTAGCGTAATATAAGGACCAATTATTTATAATAATCGATTTTAAAAGTAGTGTTTTGTATTCCGGTATTCACGTGTTTGGTGTTCTGTATTATGATGGGACGTGTGTAATGACGTAGAGGAAGGTGGGGCAAGTTATAACAGTGTGTCCCCCTTTCTCTACTTTTGTTATTATTAGACTGTATCTCAAGTAAAACTAAAACTGCATGAATGCATATACACTACAGCTGTGAAATGTCTAATTTTCTCGTTTAGATGTTCGATGTTTTTCTAGTCATGTGTTGTACAGGGTGTTTGAAAAGAAAATCGAACGACTTAGATAGCTCAAATGAGAAACTATAGCGTTTCTCGTCTCAGTGCAAACGCACTTTTGAAACACTTTGAACAAGGTTTGTCTGGTACAAACAAACATGTCCGTTTTACGGATTATTTATTTTATTAGTGTTGATTCTTATATATAAAATTTTATACTGATAATAAAATGTACAAGTACAATTACTTAACACTTATTTTCCCCTAAAAACAATTTCGGTAACTTCGAAAACAAGTTAAAACTTTCAGAAAGTCTTCAATTTAAAGCGTCTGCTTGTCAAACCTTTCATGAAAACCACGGTACAGTTTAGGGTGATTATGTTGTGGGATTCTAGGGGAAGCAGTCCTGGTTGGTCGCCGCTTTCTGCGCAAAAAATTAACATGATCTGAAATGATCTGAATAGGATGATAAAACAACTGTGATTTAAGACATTTTATCCACTAAAACCATTTTGCCCTCAAGATTGTTTAAACTCTTTTACTAACAAAGCATTGTGGATATTACTTGAAATGATAATTATTATTTTACCTAGACACAAATATTAAATTATATGATTCTTTTGAAATATTTTTATTTGTTTCACGCTTACGATTTTATCAAACCTATGATCTCTTTTAATAATAATAATAATATTAATATATATTTGTCCACCAGAATACTTCTTCCTAAAAGGGACAAAAATATTTGTGTACGATGTATTAAAATAAATTACAATTATCTACCAAATAACAAAAAATTAAATTTTTACACTAATTACTGCTAAGAAAAATTAATTACTGCAATTAATTTGAAAAATAAGGGCAAAATGTCACTAAAGATTCTGGAAAGTCGATTTCTTTAAAAAAAATACATTTATTATTGAATTTTTGGATTTTATAATTTCTCAATTTTTTAATTTCTAGATTTTCAGTTCTACGATTTCTCAATTTTCCGATGTTTCAGTTTTACGTTTTTTCAGTTTTTCTCCTTTTCAATTTTACGATCTTTAAATATTTGGATTTTTCACTTTTGACTTTTATAAACTCTCAATCTCAATGTTTCCATTTTTTTATTAATCGATGTTTTGATTTTTCTATTTCTTGACTTTCGACTTTTCCGATTTTTCGGTTTTTCAATTTTTTAATTTCTCAGTTTTTGGATATTTCAGTTTTGATATTTTTCAATTTTACCATTTTTCAGTTTTTCTTTAATTTTTCAATTTTTCGAAATTTCAGTTTTGGGATTTTTCAAATTATTTATTATTCAATTTTTCCATTTTACAATTTCTCAATTTATCAGTTTCTCGATTCTCAATTTTCCGATTTTTCATTTTATGTTTTTTCAATTTTTCTACTCTTTAATTTTACGATTTTTAAATATTTCGATTTTTCAATTTTTCAAATTTGGCTCTTATACATTCTCTGTTTTCAGTTTTTTATTTCTTCAATTTTTCAATTTTTTAGGTTTTTGATTTTTTAATTTTTCAATTTTTTACGGTTTCGATTTTTTGACTTGACTTTTTGAGTTTTCGATTTTTCAATTTTTTAATTTCTCAGTTTTTGGATATTTCAGTTTTTCAATTATCCAATTTTTCATGTTTTTGATTTTTTAATTTTTCAATTTTTTAAGCTTTTGATTTTTTGACTTCACTTTTTGATTTTTCGATTTCTCAATTTTTCAATTTTTGGTTACTTCAGTTTTGGGATTTTTTAGTTTTTCTTTCATTTTTCAGTTTTTCGAAATTTCTGTTTATTTATTATTCAATTTTAAATTTTTTCAATTTTCAACTTCGCTAATTTCAATTTTATCGATTTTTCAATTTTCCCGTTTTTCCGATTTTTCTCCTCTTCAATTTTGCAATTTTTAAATATTTCAATTTTTCAAATTTGACTTTTATAAATTCTCTATTTTTCGATTTTTCTTTTCTTCATTTTTCAATTTTTTAGGTTTTTGATTTTTTAATTTTTCAATTTTTTAAGGATTTGATTTCCGATTTCACTTTTTTGACTTTTCAATTTTTTAATTTGTCAGTTTTGAGATTTTTCAGTTTTTCCATTTTTTAGTTTTTCTTTCATTTTTCAACTTTTCGATTTCTGGATTTTCAATTTTCCGATGTTTCAGTTTTACGTTTTTTTCAATTTTTCTTCTCTTCAATTTTACGATTTTTCAATTTTTGTCTTTTCAAAATTCTCAATTTTACGATTTTACAATTAATCCATGTTTTGATTTTCCAGTTCTTAATTCTTCAGTTTTTCGATTTTTCGACTTCAGTTTTTTGTTTTTTTAATTTTTGATTTTTTGGATATTTTAGTTTTTGGATTTTTTAGTTTTTCTTACATTTTTCAATTTTTCCAAATTTCAGTTTTGGGATTTTTCAGTTTATTTATTATGCAATTTTTCAATTTTGCGATTTTCAATTTTTCGATTTCTCAATTTATCAAATTTGACCTTTATAAACTCTCTGTTTTTCGATTTTCCATCTCTTCAATCCTTCAATCTTTTAGGTTTTGACTTTTTAATGTTGAATTTTTTTAAGTTTTAATTTTCGACTTCCCTTTTTTGACTTTTTGATGTCTCAATATTTCAATTTTTTAATTTTTCAATTTTCGGATATTTCAGTTTTTCCATTATTCAGTTTGCCTCTCATTTTTCAAAATTTCAGTTTTGTGATTTTTCAGATTATGTATTTTATTATTCAATTTTTCGATTTCACAATTTTTCAATTTCTCGATTTTCAATTTTCCGATGTCTGAATTTTACGGTTTTTCAATTTTTCTCCTCTTCAATTTTAGGATTTCTAAATGTTTCGAATTTTGACTTTTATTTCTTTACTGTTTCTTGACTGTTTTTCAATTCTTCAACTTTCAATTTTTCTGGTTTTTGATTTTTCAATTTTATATTTTCAGACGAGGAAATTTAAAAAAAAATTGTATCTTGATTTTCGCAGATACTTTTTTTAATTTCTCAGTTTTTGGTTATTTCAGTTTTGAGATTTTTCAGTTTTTCTTGCATTTTTCAATTTTTCGAAATTTCTGTTTTGGGATTTTTCTGTTTGTTTATCATTCCATTTTTCAATTTTTAATTTTTTCAATTTCGCGATTTCCAATTTTTTCCTCTACGATGACTTTTATAAACTCTGTTTTTCGATTTTTCACTCTTCAATTCTTCAATTCTTCAGGATTTTGATTTTTCAATTTTATATTTTTTAAGGTTTCGATTTTTCGACTTCACTTTTTTGATTTTTCGATTTCTCAATTTTCCAATTTTTTAATTTCTCAGTTTTTTGTAATTACAGTTTTGGGATTTATCAGTTTTTTTCAGTTTTTCGAAATTTCAGTTTTGGAACTTTTCAGTTTATTTCTTATTCAATTTTTCGATTTTACAATTTTTCAATTTCGCGATTTTCAATTTTTCGATTCCTCAATTTAACGATGTTTCAATTTTACGTTTTTCCAATTTTTCTCTCATTCATTTACGATTTTCCTTTTTTTGCCTTTTTATAATCTCAATTTTTGATTTTTTCAATTAATTGAGTTTTGATTTTCCCATTTTTTGACTTTCGACTTTTCGATTTTCCAGTTCTTCAATTCTTCAATTTTTTGATTTTTCAATTTTTCGATTTTCTTTGAGGTTTCGATGTTTCGACTTCACTTTTTTGATTTTTCGGGTTCCCAATTTTTCAGTTTTTTAGATTGGGAATTAGGTTTTGGGATTTTTCAATATTTCAATTCTTCTGGATTTTTCGATTTCTCGATTTTTCATTTCAATTCTTCAATATTTCATTCCGTAAATTTTTCCAATTTTTAGATTTTGATTTTTCAAATTTTCGATTTTTTTTATTTTTTATTTTTTAATTAGAATGTTTAGGACGCAATTAGGCTTCACACGAATTTGTACTCGATGTGGAGCGGTAGCGAGCACTTGCCATTTATACGACTGCCAGAGTCGCAAGAACCACAGGACGACAGCGACACGGACGATCCTCCTACGGAGAAGAGCGGAAAAACGCCTTTTCCTAGACCAACTTAAGTGTCATATTACTAAGTTAAGTCATTTTTTATGAGGCCGTCAAGGTTAGTGATTTTTTTATTGATCAAGGAGATGAGAGGCAAACAGGGGTTTAGCGTAATATAAGGACCAATTATTTATAATAATCGATTTTAAAAGTAGTGTTTTGTATTCCGGTATTCACGTGTTTGGTGTTCTGTATTATGATGGGACGTGTGTAATGACGTAGAGGAAGGTGGGGCAAGTTATAACAGTGTGTCCCCCTTTCTCTACTTTTGTTATTATTAGACTGTATCTCAAGTAAAACTAAAACTGCATGAATGCATATACACTACAGCTGTGAAATGTCTAATTTTCTCGTTTAGATGTTCGATGTTTTTCTAGTCATGTGTTGTACAGGGTGTTTGAAAAGAAAATCGAACGACTTATAGCTCAAATGAGAAACTATAGCGTTTCTCGTCTCAGTGCAATCGCACTTTTGAAACACTTTGAACAAGGTTTGTCTGGTACAAACAAACATGTCCGTTTTACGGATTATTTATTTTATTAGTGTTGATTCTTACATATAAAATTTTATACTGATAATAAAATGTACAAGTACAATTACATAACACTTATTTTCCCCTAAAAACAATTTCGGTAACTTCGAAAACAAGTTAAAACTTTCAAAAAGTCTTTAATTTAAAGCGTCTGCTTGTCAAATTTTGAGTGACGTTCACAAGTTGAGTGCGTTGTCGGAATCTTGACCGTAGTCGCCTTCGTCGTCGTCGTCGTCCTCTTCCTCGTCTTGGTTCATGGAGCACTCGCGACATCTGCAACAAAATGGCGGTGAAAATGGCGGTTTCGGAGAATGGGTGGATTTGTTTACTTGCTCTCGTTTATTCCGTAATTTATGCAGTGTTGGCCTATGCATTCGCAGCACCCATCGTGGAACCATCGGTAACTATTGGAACCCATGCTTTCACAGTTGGATCTACATTTGTGCCAGGTCCTGCATCCTTTCATGAAAACCACGGTACAGTTTAGGGTGATTATGTTGTGGGATTCTATGGGAAGCAGTCCTGGTTGGTCACCGCTTTCTGTACAAAAAATTAATCTGGTCTGAAATTATCATTTAAGAGATTTGGTCCACTAAAACTATTTTAAAAACTAAACAACTGGGAAAAGTACTAGGCGCCCTCAAATGATAATTATTATTTTACCTAGATGCAAATATTAAATTATAAAATAAATTACAATTATCTACCAAATAACAAAAAATTAAATTTTTACACTAATTACTACTAAAAAAAATAATAATTACTACAATTAATTTGAAAAATAAGAGCAAAATGTTTGATTGAGTCGAAGTGTCAATAAAGACTCTGCAAAGTCATCTTCTTTAAAAAAAAGTACATAAACATCTTAACGATTTCTTGCTTTTTCAACTTTCGAATTCTCAATTTTTCGAAAATTTTAGTTTTAGAATTTTTTCGTTTATTTATTATTGAAATTTTGGATTTTATAATTTCTCAGTTTTTCAATTTCTAGATTTCTCAATTTTCCGATGTTTCAGTTTTACGTTTTTTCAATTTTACAATCTTTAAATATTTGGATTTTTCAATTTTTGACTTTTTTAAACTCTCAATGTTTCGATTTTTTAATTAATCGAGGTTTTGATTTTCCCATTTCTTGACCTTCGACTGTTTAAATTTTTCGGTTTAATTTCTCAGTTTTTGTGATTTTTCATTTTTCTTTAAATTTTCAATTTTTCGAAATTTCGGTTGTGGGATTTTTCAGTTTATTTATTATTAAATTTTTCAATTTTACAATTTTACAATTTTTCAATTTCGCGATTTTCAATTTTTCGATTTCTCAATTTTCTGATGTTCCAATTTTACGTTTTTCCAGTTTTTCTTCTCTTCAATTTTAGGATTTTTAAATATTTCGATTTTTCAATTTGTCAAATTTGACTTTTATAAACTCTGTTTTTCGATTTTTCATTTCTTCAATTCTTCAATTTTTCAATTTTGTAGGTTTTTGATTTTTTGACTTCACTTTTTTTTGATTTTTCGATTTCTCAGTTTTTGAATTTTTGGTTACTTCAGTTTTGGGATTTTTTCGGTTTTCTTTCATTTTTCAGTTTTTCGAAATTTCAATTTTACATTTTTTCAATTTTCAACTTCGCGATTTTCAATTTTATCGATTTTTCTATTTTCCGATGTTTCAATTCCACGTTTCTCCAATTTTTCTCCTCTTCAATTTTGCAATTTTTAAATATTTCGATTTTTCAATTGTTCAAATTTGACTTTTATAGACTCTGTTTTTCGATTTTTCATTTCTTCAATTCCTCAATTTTTCAATATTTTAGATCTTTGATATCTCAATTTTTCAATTTTTTAATTTCTTTGTTTTCGGATATTTCAGTTTTGAGATTTTTAAGTTTTTCAATCATCCAATTTTTCAAGTTTTTGATTTTTCAATTTTTTTATTTTTGAAGTTTTCCATTTTTTGACTTCACTTTTTTGATTTTTCGATGTCCCAATTTTTCAATTTTTGGTTATTTCAGTTTTGGGATTTTTTAGTTTTTCTTTCATTTTTCAGTTTTTCGAAATTTCAGTTTATTTATTATTCAATTTTACAATTTTTCAATTTTCAACATCGCGATTTTCAATTTTATCGACTTTTCTATTTTCCCATGTTTCAATTTTACGTTTCTCCAATTTTTCTCCTCTTCAATTTTGCAATTTTTAAATATTTCGATTTTTCAATTGTTCAAATTTGACTTTTATAGACTGCTTTTCGATTTTTCATTTCTTCAATTCTTCAATTTTTCAATATTTTAGATTTTTGATTTCTCAATTTTTCAATTTTTTAATTTCTCTGTTTTTGGATATTTCAGTTTTGAGATTTTTCAGTTTTTCGATTATCCAATTTTTCAAGTTTTTGATTTTTCAATTTTATTTTTGAAGTTTTTCATTTTTTGACTTCACTTTTTTGATTTTTCGATTTCCCAATTTTTCAATTTTTGGTTATTTCAGTTTTGGGATTTTTTAGTTTTTCTTTCATTTTTCAGTTTTTCGAAATTTCAGTTTATTTATTATTCAATTTTCAACTTCGCGATTTTCAATTTTATCGATTTTTCAATTTTCCGATGTTTCAATTTTACGTTTTTCCAATTTTTCGCCTCTTCAATTTTGCGATTTGTAAATATTTCGATTTTTCAATTTTTCAAATTTGACTTTTATAAATTCTCAATTTTTCGATTTTTCATTTCTTCAATTCTTCAATTTTTCAATTTTTTAGGTTTATGATTTTTCAATTTTTTAAGGTTTTGATTTTTGACTTCACTTATTTGACTTTTTGATTTCTAAATTTTTGGATATTTCAGTTTTTGGATTTTTTAGTGTTTCTTATTTCGCGATTTCCAATTCTTCGATTTCTCAATTTTTCAAATTTTACTTTTATAAACTCTGTTTTTCGATTTTTCGTCGCTTCAATCCTTCAATTTTTTAAGTTTTTGATTTTTTAATTTGTCAATTTTTTAAGGTTTTGATTTTCGACTTCACTTTTTTACCTTTTTGATGTCTCAATTTTTCAATTATTTAATTTCTCAGTTTTCGGATATTTCAGTTTTTCCAATATTGAGTTTTTCTTTCAATTTTCAATTTTTCAAAATTTCAGTTTTGTGATTTTTCAGATTTTGTATTTTATTATTCAATTTTTCGATTTCACAATTTCTCAATTTTTCAATTTCTCGATTTTCACTTTTCCGATATTTGTGTTTTACGTTTTTTCAATTTGACTCTTCAATTTTGCAAATTTTAAATATTTTGATTTTTCAATTTTCAAATTTGACTTTTATAAATTCTCTATTTTTCGATTTTTCATTTCTTCAATTCTTCAATTGTTTAGGTTTTTTGATTTTCGATTTCACTTTTTTGACTTTTTGATGTCTCAATTTTTCAATTTTTTAATTTCCCAGTTTTCAATTTTTCAAAATTTCGGTTTTGTGATTTTTCAAATTATGTTGTATTTATGATTCAATTTTTCGTTTTACAATTTCTCAATTTTTCAATTTCTCTGAATATCTAAAAAAATAATAAATTGAAAAGTCCAGAAGTCGAAAAGTCGAAGAACCGAAATATTGAAAAAAATCCCAAAACTGAAAGAAATCTCAAAAAATTGAGAAATTAAAAAATTAGAAAATTGAGAAATCGAAAAACCAAAAAATCACAGTCGAAAAATCGAAGACGTGAAAAATCGAGAAATTGAAAAATCAGAGGATCGAGAAATGCAGTTAAAAATTGAAAAACTGATAAATAGAGAAATTTTGAAATGAAAAATTGGATAATCGAAATTTAAAAATTCGGAAAATTAAAAATTGAAGTATAGAAGAACTGAAAACTCAAGAATCGAAAAACCTAGAATTTTAAAAACTGGACCATTATAACTTGGAAAAGTTGAAAAATTGAGAAATCGAAGCAATAAAATAGTCGAAAAATTGAAAAATTTAAAGTTTTACAAAAAATTGAAAAACTAAAAAGTAAAAAATCCAGTAATCGAAAAATCGAAGTCTTGAAAAACCACAAAACTGAAAGAAACATCAAAAAAATTGAGAAATTAAAAAATTGTAAAATTGAGAATTCGAAAAATTAAAAAATCAAAGTCGAAAAATCCTAAACTTAAAAAATCGAAAAATTGAAAAATCAAAAACCTGAAAAATTGAAGAAGTGAAGAATCGAAACTTTAGGAAGTCGAGGAATAGACAAATCTAGAATTTTAAAAATCTAAAAATTGAAAAATCGAAATATAAAACAGCCGAAAAATTGAGAAGTCAGAAATTGGAAAATCAAAAATAGATTAAATGAGAAATCGGAAAACTGAAAATTTAGCAACGTCAAAATTTGAAAAATGGAAAAATAGAAATACTGAAGAACTGAAAAGTCAATAAATCGAGAAATCTAAAAATTTAGAACATTGAAGAATCTAAATATCGCAAAATTGAAAAATCGAGAAATCTAAAAATCTAAGGTTTAACGAAAAGTCGAAAAGTCGGAAAAACGAAATATTGAAAAATCCCAAAACTGAAAGAAATTGAGAAATCGAAAAACTAAAAAATCAAAAACCTGAAAAATCGAAAAATTGAAGAAGCGAAATATTGAAACTTTGGGAAATCGAGAAATGGGACAATAAAAGAATGATTACTCCAGAAATCGGAAAACTGAAAATTTAGAAACATCAAAATTTGAGAAATTGAAAAATCGAAATATTTAGAAATTGGATCGAAAAATATCAAAATCCAGAAATCAAAAATTTGAAGAATGGAAAAATTGAGACATCTACAGTTGAAAAATCGAGAAATTGAAAAGCCGAAAAACTCAAAAGCGTATTTAATAAACCACAAGTTCAGGACTATGCTACTTTTTAACATTTAAATAACATTTATTCGTTAAAATTGTAAGATGACATCATCGAACAAATTTTGACTAACGTTTTAACAACTATAACTTGGAAAATGTTGATTTTTTTTCCAAAAATCTTGACGTCTAGGGTAAAAACTCAACAACGATGTGTAGACTTATTTTGACAACAAGAAATTTAAAACATGTTTAAAATGGTAAATTCTTGCAGACACATATCGATCTTGCAATTAAACTCCGCCCCTCGAACTGACAACGAATGAAGAATTCATCACATTTGAGAATTGAGATCGGGGCGGGTATGGGTGGGTCCTCATGTTTGGCTTTGTTTTTTTCTTAATGTACATAGTATTCTTCGAACAATACGATACTCAAAAAAATGTTCTTAAGTTCTCGTAAAGAAATAAGGAATTTGCAGTTAAGCTCCGCCTTCTTGGCTCACGACGAATAACAAAAAATCATCACAATTGAGACAGGGCGGGTGGGCGGGGCTACATAATGTTTTTTTTCTTAATATGTGTAGATTTTTTTTCAAACAAATAAAAACAAAATTCAAGAGGTCCGAAAGATTTCTTTGACATTCTTAAAAAAAAGACAAAAACCCTAAAATTTGTCAGACTTTTTATAAAACGAAACACCAACAATCTTCAAATGCTTTCAAAAATTAAACACAAATGGCCCCGAAGATTCTTTTGTATTCTAAACGCCGAAAATTTAAATTCAATTTGCAGGCAACACATTATACATCTTGGTACTGTTGCCTGCAGTACTATTGACCCCCATGATTTTCAACACATTTTTTAATTATTCCAGATTTTTCAGATTATTTCAAAAATATAACAATTTCATTTTCTGCAAAAACAAAATTAAGCACACTCAGATTCCTCCAAACTCTTTCAAAAACAAAACACAAGAACTGGCCGAATTTTTTTCAAATTTTTCCAAAATGACGCTTTCTTTTAGCTCTCCTGGTAAAAAATCACAAACTAACTTAATTGGAGACTTACGCATGACTACTTTTACATGACCTTTGGGCCCGTAGTGACTCAAGTCGATGTTTATGGGCATTCTCGTAATATTCCAGCGATTCTGTGCATCCGGGACCTGTGTTAAAGCGTCGAAAAGCCCTGGAACCGGTTCCTTGAAATCCTCCACGTGTGATTTTTTGCTGAGGAGAGTTTCGTCGATTTCGTGCGGCTGGGGACACAGATCTGCACATAAAAACAACATAATCGGTTTAGCAAAATAAATTATAATAAAACTCACCCACGCAAGAACAGCATTCATCGTACAGATAACTCAGACAATTAAAACATTCCTTGCAGCAAGTACAGTTCTTGAGTTCGCATTTACAGGACTGTGTGAGGAGACATTTACTTACAATGCTGCCACAGACTGCCTCATTGCATGTGTTGACTTTGGGTGTTAAGAAGAGGGTTCCTGAGATGGCGCAAAGGAGAGCTAACTTCCACATTTTGATCTGCAACAAAGCGAAAAAATTGTAAACGGAATGAAGTATTTACAATGGCGGAATGTGTTCAAACGTCACAAACAATTAGTGTTAGCTTTGTTGAATTTATTGTTTCACAAGTATTCCCAAATCTGCATAAAAATCGTGAAAATAAAACAAAAAAAAATGTTTACATCACGCAAGCAAAACCTTGCAGTGACGTCAAGAATGCGCCAATTAACATAATAATTAACTTGGGACTACTTTATAATCCAGCCCCCCATAACAAACACAAAATAAATAAAACATCCATTCCCTTATTTATAATCGTAAATTGTAAAAAAAATTCGAAAGTTGTTTGTTATAAATACAAATGCAAATATTAAACCGAAGCGCAGAACTTTAAACCGCCTAAGTGTTAATTTAGCCTAAGGCCAGTTTAAATTAATTAAGGCGACATGCGAGGAACGCTGTCGTTCCGCGTCTGCAAGGAATAACGACTTTTGGGTACTTACGGTGGAAATGGGACACACATTTAGTCCGAGAAGTGGTTCAAACGATGTAAACTCGAAGAAAATATCCGACGGAACTCCTCAACATCGTGCTTCTCTTGAGAAACTTGTTTTGCGATTTGCTACTGAGCCCCACCGTTCGCTAAAAGCGGCAAGTTCAAAGATCGCGGTACTGCGTTAAGGGGGCAGCTGGTGATGTCTGTAGGCGATTTAGGCGGTTTTGGGTGTTTGAAAATGTGTTTGCAAATGATCAAATTTTTTTGTAATCATGTTCTTGAAAGAAACTGGTTGAAGGTCATTTCGATGGAACTTTCCTCGTTCCTGAAGTGCAGCCAATGAATCTTCATTTTTGAAAAATGATAAAAATTTGATAATCTCTATAAAGTAAAAACCAGTGCCGAATTTTTGACATTTTCGAAACTTAACTGAACACATTTTCTTCTAGATTTTGAGCTCTAGAACTCATTTCCGGAATCGTTTCTTTGATAACTGCAACCGTTTTTCCGGAATCGGCCGTTGAAATATCGGGATTTTTATAAATTTTCAAAAATTCGCATTTCCTACCGATTCTTCCGAAAATGTTTCTCCGTGACCATCAACACGCTATATTTTTGGAATCAGCTTGTCGAGATCTAAGTCTCTGAATTTTTTCGCAATTTTAAGACAACTTTTTTTTAAGTGAAAATTTTCCAATGGTCCCCCCTTCTTCACTTTTTGGCCAAATTTTGACATTTTCGAAACTTAACTAAACACATTTTCTTGTAGATTTCGAGCTCTAGAACTCATTTCCGGAAACGTTTCTTTGATAACTGCAACTGCGTTTTTCCGGAATCGGCCGTTGAAATATCGAGATTTTTAGAAATTTTCAAAAATTCGCATTTCCTACCGATTCTTCCGAAAATGTTTCTCCGTGACCATCAACACGCTATATTTTTGGAATCAGCTTGTCGAGATCTACGTCCCTGAATTTTTTCGCAATTTTTAGACAACTTTTTTTATGTGAAAATTTTCCAATGGTCCCCCCTTCTTCACATTTCGGCCAAATTTTGACATTTTCGAAACTTAACTAAACACATTTTCTTGTAGATTTCGAGCTCTAGAACTCATTTCCGGAAACGTTTCTTTGATAACTGCAACCGTTTTTCCGGAATCGGCCGTTGAAATATCGAGATTTTCAGAAATTTTCAAAAATTCGCATTTCCTGAGAATTCTTTCAAAAATGTTTCTCTGTGACCATCAACACGCTATATTTTTGGAATCAGCTTGTCGAGATCTACGTCCCTCAATTTTTTCGCAATTTTTAGACAACTTTTTTTTAAGTGAAAATTTTCCAATGGTCCCCCCTTCTTCACTTTTCGGCCAAATTTTGACATTTTCGAAACTTAACTAAACACATTTTCTTGTAGATTTCGAGCTCTAGAACTCATTTCCGGAATCGTTTCTTTGATAACTGCAACCGTTTTTCCGGAATCGCCCGTTGAAATATCGAGATATTTAGAAATTTTCAAAAATTCGCATTTCCTACCGATTCTTCCGAAAATGTTTCTCCGTGACCATCAACACGCTATATTTTTGGAATCAGCTTGTCGAGATCTACGTCTCTGAATTTTTTCGCAATTTTTAGACAACTTTATTTTAAAGTGAAAATTTTCAATGGTCCCCCCTTCTTCACTTTTCGGCCAAATTTTGACATTTTCGAAACTTAACTAAACACATTTTCTTGTCGATTTCGAGCTCTAGAACTCATTTCCGGAATCGTTTCTTTGATAACTGCAACCGTTTTTCCGGAATCGCCGGTTGAAATATCGAGATTTTTAGAAATTTTCAAAAATTCGCATTTCCTGTCGATTCTTTCGAAAATGTTTCCCCGTGACCATCAACACGCTATATTTTTGGAATCAGCTTGTCGAGATCTACATCTCTGAATTTTTTCGCAATTTTTAGACAACTTTTTTTTAAGTGAAAATTTTCCAATGGTCCCCCCTTCTTCACTTTTCGGCCAAATTTTGACATTTTCGAAACTTAACTAAACACATTTTCTTGTAGATTTCGAGCTCTAGAACTCATTTCCGGAATCGTTTCTTTGATAACTGCAACCGTTTTTCCGGAATCGGCCGTTGAAATATCGAGATTTTTGGAAATCTTCAAAAATTCGCATTTCCTACCGATTCTTCCGAAAATGTTTCTCCGTGACCATCAACACGCTATATTTTTGGAATCAGCTTGTCGAGATCTACGTCCCTGAATTTTTTCTCAATTTTTAGACAACTTTTTTGAAAGTGAAAATTTTCCTTCTTCACTTTTCGGCCAAATTTTGACATTTTCGAAACTTAACTAAACACATTTTCTTGTAGATTTCGAGCTCTAGATTTCACTTCCGGCCTCGTTTCTTTGATAACTGCAACCGTTTTTACGGAATCGGCCGTTGAAATATCGAGATTTTTAGAAATTTTCAAAAATTCGCGTTTCCTGAAAATTTTCCAATTTCCCCTTCTTCACTTTTCGGCCAAATTTTGACATATTTTCCGCAATAGTTATTAATAATAAAGTAGAAATTCGCTAAAACGCCGCACTTTCACGCCAAAACGACGCCATAATCTTGCCGCCATCCAACAGAAATTAATAGTGAACACAAAGAACCGCGACACATGACCTTCGGACAGCTAGCTCAGGTGACAGTGACGTCATCGTACGTCACGATGAGATTGCAAGAATTATTTTTCATATTTTGGCCGTTAAAATGCACATTTTCATGGATAATTTAACAATTTTTAAACAAATTGATTTGTTTTTGATAATTTCGGACTTGTAGGACGAGTTTCGATTTAATTATCATATTTATTTATGCTTATCATATTTAAACATTATAAGTGATATTAATTATGTTTAAAATTTATAAATTAATATCGTGCAAATGTATAGCTTTGATCAACCGACTTCAATCGTTTCGAAAATTTGCCCAAAATTTAAACATTGTCGAGTGAACGAATCACGGAATCCGATAAATTAAAACTGAGGTCGTACTTACCCTGTTTTCGGTCCTTTTCGGAAAAATATCCATTTCGTTCGTGTTTACAGTACTAACACAACACATTTTCACCAATATTTATTAATAATAAATTATAAATTCGTGAAAAGAACCCTACTTGTAAGCCAAAACGGAGCTCCAGTGTTGTTGCTACCAGACCGGTATCAAAACTAAACACAGAGGACCGAAAAATGTGACCTTTTATCAGGTAGGTCACGTGACAGTGACGTCATCGTACGTCACGATGAGATTGCAAAAATTATTTTTCATATTTTCGCTCAGAGATTGTACATTTTCGGCGTTAATTTAACAACGTTTAAACAAACTAATTTGTTTTTGGTAACCTCGTGTTCTTAGGAAAATGGTTTTCAGTTTAATTATCACATATTAATAGTTATCATATTTAAACATTATGAATTATATTAATTACGTTTAAATTTTATTTAATTATATCGCGAAAATGTATAGCTTTGACCCACCAACTTCACCGATACGTCGCAGCATAGGTTTTTTATCAATAGTGCCAACGCAAAGTTACAAAACACCAACATTGCTGATTTAGTGATGACGCTTATCAAAGAAACGACTCCTATTAAAGGTAGAAGTTGCCGAGGAAAAAAAGGAAAATGAAGGAAAAATTTGTTAACAACTTGTCTTCACATTTGTCCTTATAAATAATAAATTAAATGTAATACATTTTTGTTTCCTTAAGAATACAAAATTAACAAAGTTAGTTGAGTTACAAAAGTCTCTTTTGCTCCACGTTGGCCACCAACGAGCGATTTTCAAGATTTTTGTGAAACTTTGCTGGTTTTGAATTTGAATTTTCTGTCCTCGATAGTTGATGCTCAGCAAGAACCACGGGAAGGTCTGGAGCAGATCTCGCTAGGAAAGGAGAGGGCTAGGATTTGTTAATGAGGGATAGAACGTTATACAGTACAATACAAAAGAAATACAATACAGGTACCTACAATCTAACTACAATACAGAATACACTACAGATACAGATACAATTTAGATACAAAACAAATGCAAAGTTAGTACCCAATTCATCACCGGAAGAAATTGCACCAAAAATTGAGAATGTTGCAAAATGAAAACCCAAGCAAGCACACCGATGGAACTCGGAACGAAATCTATTGGTCGCAGTGCTCGTTCGCCCAAGAGAGGAACGCAGCCGCATAAATCCAAGGCCGTCTGACCTCATCCTTAAAGAATGATGCGACCCAGCGTCTAAGGGCCAATAGAACCCCCCCAGACCAAGAGCTTCTAACGACATGGAGAATTCCGACCCGGAACCAAAGGATGCGCTGTTGCAAAATGAAAACCCAAGCAAGCACACCGATGGAACTCGAAACGAAATCTATAGGTCGCAGCGCTCACACGACCAAGGGAGAATGCAGCCGCATAGATACAGGGCCGACTGACCTCATCCTTTTCGGATGATGAACCTCATCCTTTTAGGATGATGACCCAGCGTCTAAGGGCCAACAGAACCCCCCAGGCCAGAGCGTCTGACGACATGGAGAATTCAGTCTCGGAACCAAAGAATGCACTGTTGCAAAATTAAAACCCAAGCAAATGCACCGTGAAAACAAAGCATTTGCACCACTGGAGCTAAATTGGCAAGACCCAAGTTAAGTTAGTAACACATACAATATACAGTACAAAATGGTTCAATTACAAAAGTTACAATATACAAATTTCTCCACGTTTGCCACCAAAGAGCGATGACTGTGCTCGCTCGTTGTTGTTGCCCAGCAAGAACCAAACAATACGAGGAGGTCTGGAGTGCGTCTTGCCATGAGAGAAACAATAAATTAGAAATTCGCGAACACGGGCTACTTTTAAGCGAAAACGGAGCTCCGAATGCTCATATGTTGCTGCCACCAGACCGAAATCAAAACTAACCGAAAACCGCAATATTTGTTCAGGTGGCTCTCCTGACAGTGATGTCATTGAACATCACGATGAGATTGCAAACACTATTTTTCATATTTTGACCGGAAAATTACACGTTTTTAATGTGTTCACGTTTGTAGGAAAACGGCTTTAATTATATTAATTAATACTCATAATCATATTTGAACAGTATATATAAAT